TGGTCGTGGGGGTGTAGGGGGTGTAGATGAGAGTGGGAGTGGGGGATGGATGGGGTGTTGTGGTGGTCGAGGGGGTGGTGGGATGGCTTAGATGGTGGGAGTGGGGGTAGTGTGGACGGGAGTGGTGGTTGTTGTTGTGGTGGGCGCCGGGGTGGTGACGCACACTGTAGCACTACCTGCTGTCACGCAGGAACAATGCTCGTTGTTCACGTATACCGTCTGGCCTGCTGGGATCGGCGGGCCGTGATGATTATAGCAGTTAGGACCTGAAAAGTAGTCGACTAGTTTACTATGTGTCATTTTCTAAGCATGGACATGTTGTTCTAAGGAATAAGTTCATGCATGTCACTTAACTATTGTATGGCACTATGTATGGCACTATGTCACAAACCTTGTCTAAATTCTGTGACCAGCTCATTATTGTACAGAGGGACCAGTGGAAGATGAAATGCACTTTATCTGTCAGTGTCCTCATTATGATTTTGAGAGAAAAAAGTTATTCAAAGAAGTATCTAATATTTCCCCAAGTTTCTCACATCTCAACAATCATCAAAAGACTATATTACTGCTAAAGTCTCCCAACCGACTAATTTTTCAAAGAGTCAGACAATTCATCTCCCACTGCCTCCTGAGAAGAAGTCAAACTTCCTAACAACTTGCCTTTGGCTAGAGTAGTATACTAGTAGAATAGCAGTTACAATGTCTCCTATTTATGTGTAGCATATCCACTTTCTACCCTGTATAACAACGTTATGTTAGTTTCAAAGTAGATATAGTAAGTTAAATAAGCAGACCGTATATTAAGTAGAACTCCATATTAGCATAATTATAGTCTTAATTCACCACATTCTGTATTCATTGTTTTTGTCAATGTCTGTTTGCAATTAGCCCTCGGGCACGAACCTGCAATAAACAACTCATATTATTATGTATACGTTTATGTTCTCACCGTTTGGGCAGGTGTAAGGGGAATCGGAAAGGACGTCCCATTCGATAACAACGTCAACACACACTGGCGGCGGGACGAAGGCGCAGACTGCCATCCTTCCCCCGGTTGTACAGTTACACTGCTCGAGGTTCACGTACATCGTCTGGCCTTCCGGAATGGGTGGGCCTCCGTGAGGATTGTAGCAGTTCGGACCTGAAGGAAATTAGTAGACTAGTTTTAGAAATGAAGTATCATTCCGAAGGCAATGTGTTTATGCTTGTCCCTGTGTATATATACCAGCTAACCATAATATTTACAGATCAAGACACAGGCACACTATATTTATTTTGGCTTTACCACAGAAGTGGCGTTGTGAAACATATTGTGTTCTCTCATGTTTCTTCTCCTGCCATTTCTTTAAATGGATTCAACTCTGCCATTTTACAGCTAAATGACCTCAAGTTTGGCATGGAGGTTTAGGGTGAGCAAATACTCACAGGAAAGTTTTATTTGACCTATTTTAATTTTTTGGAGCAGGCTTATAGAATTGTTTTATTTGTGTTTTCTTCCGACAAAATCTGTACATTTGTGGTCCTGGTGCCTGGTATTACACCATTTGGTGGAGAATATGATCAACTGATATAATTCATGCAAATGAGGATCCTATTTGCATAATCAGGAGGAATAATCTTAACTTTGTCAGTCATAAAATTTAACATCATTTGGCGAAGGTATGAGATCGTGGAACTCTGGTTATGTATTGTATACGTTATGTTCTCACCGTTTGGGCAGGTGTAAGGGGAATCGGAAAGGACGTTCCATTCGATAACAACGTCAACACACACTGGCGGCGGGACGCCGGCGCAGACTGCCGTCTCTCCCCCGGCCGTACAGTTACACTGCTCTAAGTTCACGTACATCGTCTGGCTTTCCGGAATGGGTGGGCCTCCGTGAGGATTGTAGCAGTTCGGACCTGAGGGAAATTAGTAGACTAGTTTAAGAAATGACTAAGTATTATTCCGAAGTCAATGAGTTTATGCCTGTCCCTGTGCATATATACCAGCTAACCATAACTAATATTTACAGATCACGAATGTACACAGACCCTATATTTATTGTGGCTTTACCACATAAGTGGTGTGGTGAAACGTATTGTGTTCTCTCATGTTTCTTCTCCTGCCATTTCTTTAAATGGATTCAACTCTGCCATTTTTCAGCTAAATGACCTCAAGTTTGGCATGGAGGTTTAGGGTGAGCAAATACTCACAGGAATTTTTTTTATTTGGCCTATTTTGATTTTTTGGAGCAGGCTTATAGAATTGTCCCTCCATGAAAAATGGAGGTATTGTTTTTGGCGTGTCTGTCTGTATGTCTGTGTGTGTGTGTGTGTGTGTGTCTGTCTGTCTGTGTGTGTTTCCGCAACTTTGTAGTCAGCATAACTTCAGAACGCCTTTATGGATTGTGATGATATTTGGTATGATGGTAAGTCTTGGAAAGACAAAGGTCAAGGTCAAGTATGGGCTTCCTGTTGGATGACCTTGGTACTGCAGCAAAACTTCCGGTTTTTGTATCTTTTGTCCTGAACTAGCTATGGTCTTTACTTTTTGGTGAAAGATAGCTTGTCCTGTCAGGAATAAGTGGTGTAAGTTTGGTCCCCCTAGCAGCTTGTTCTTGAACTGCAGCTTAGTTTCTGGTAAAAACTTTCAAAGCCAATACGTCCAGATTGGAACAACGTATTTTCATCATTTTTGATGTGTAGGTACCTGAGAGACAGTTTTACATGATTAACCCTCAAACACCCGAACTTTTTTGTGACGTTAATGCCCGAACAGGGTCCAAATGGACCCCATTTGTTTTTTTTTCAAATTTATATTCCTTTTTGCATCCTTTCGGTGACCTTTGCACAATATTGGTTAAACATATTAAGACGTTTATTTTGGCATGACTAAGTGTTAAAAATTCCAGCTCATGATCATAATTCATGCAAAAATATGATGAGGCCTGCAGGCATGAACATGGTGTTGACCTTTGACCTTATATGATTGTCAAATTGCCAAACCTCTGAAAACCTGATGGAATAATTCCTGAGGTGGAGGTTACTTGGCAAACTGCATAATATTAAAGCAATAATGCTTCCTTGAAGACATATTGAGGACATCCGAACAATTTCGTGTGTAAGAAAGTGCAAAAACATGGCTGGGGTCCGTTTGGACCCCACACGGTCTTACATCAGACTTCCATTGTTATTCTTACAAATTTGTGCCGATCTCAAAAACAAAAATTAGGAGAACTTGTAGGAGAGGTTTACTGACAAAGTCACGGGAGGAAATTTTTTTTAGAATAAAATATATTCAGATAGCACATAAAAATATACGTCTGGGGTCCAAATGGACCACGTTCAGGTGTTTGAGGGTTAAATGCAAAATATGCAAATAAGGACTGAATTTGCATAAATAATAAAGAAATACTATAATTACAGTGTTTCATATAATGGTACTGCTATACACGAATCTATTTAATCTGTGGCGGGCGGAACATCAACAGATACTAATTATGCAAATGATGACCTAATTTGCATAATTAATGTGAAAATTCTGTGAATCCTGATGGATTAATGATGGGAATTTTATACCTTGTAACATGTGTAAGTTACTTAAAGGTTTGCATCGCTATGCATATATTTTGTTAATGTAAAGGTTATTTGCATAATTAATGAGGACAAAGCAAGCCCATATTTCATGGAGGTATGAGATCTCGGAACTCTTGTTTTATTTGTGTTTTCTTCCGACAAAATCTGTACATTTGTGGTCCTGGTGTCTGGTATTACACCCAAATCATCTGAAATCAAATGGTCTGAAATATAGTATAGGTATACTTTATATATCTACCAGCAACAATTCATTCAAGTGTTGGCACTCACCTATTTAAATTTTTGCTAAATGACACCTGCACATACGTATAATAGGAACAATTGCTTTGTCCGCCTTTCTAGTTATAAGAAAAATTTTCAACCCGGCTGCAACAAAACGCCTAAAAAAAAACGCAAACGAACCTCCTATCTTGGTAATGATGTATTCAGATGCAAGTGAATAATATGTGTTGTATAGACAAGACATAACATAGCGTCTATACGGGTGTTTTGCCTGTATTGTTTCATTGCCTGAATTGAAGCACAAAAGATTGTCTGAGCAATCATTCCTCAGCTTTTTTGGGCTCAATTGTTAATTACCACCCTTATGATAATATTTGTCATAGTTGTGTGTTTTATTTCACTTATAACAATATAAACGTAATAAACGTAATAATATTTATGATTGTCGAGTCCTTTTATTAAGTTAAACCTTCTTGGTCTAGTTACAGGACATCGTTACGTATTTGTACCAGTGCCAGTGCAATGCATATTTCGCTTAATACATATGTAACATTTCCCATGACAACGTTGCTCATTGTAATATTAATAGTAAACTGGTCAATAGTAAAATCGGGCATTTGCTGCGCAGGGGAGTTTTATCTGTGTATTGTATTCTTAAACATATACGTTCTCACCGTTTGGGCAGACGTAAGGAAAGTGGGTGGGGTCGTCATCGTTAACGTGGTCATAACACTCGCTCCATGGCGGCGGGATGGGGCTGCAGACTGCCATCCTTCCTCCGGTTGTACAGTTACACTGCTCTAGGTTCACGTACATCGTCTGGCCTTCAGGGATAAGCGGAACTCCGTGAGGATTTAGGCAGTTCGGACCTGAAAAAAATTAGTGGTCACTTTTTTACTTCGTATCATTCCTTAGACAATGCGTGTTATTGTGTGTACTTTTCCTACTATCTAGCCTACTTTACTATGCTATCGAGCATTCATGAAGCTATGAATGGACATATAAATAAATCTTTAATTTTTGACAGGCCCGGATTTTTGCCATTGATCTAAATTGAGAAAATAGGTTAGCCGAAAGATAGAGAGAGTAGCTACTAATTTATTATCCAGATCTAGTCTTTATTAGTCTTTTTTTTAATTCGTCAATACATCAAAACATAACAAGGGCAGTGTGGCGCTGCACTCAAGTTTATAGCTTATTTTAACAGCGCCACACAACAAAATACAATTCACAAACAAATACACAAAGTTACCACTACAGTGCGCCGAAGTCCCACCACCCCAAGACATTAATGATACGAATGCTAACAAAGTTCATTTAAAAAAAAATATTTAGCTGGAAAGGGTTCTATTAGTCTTGCTCGGTTGCTAGATAAATATACTGGCAAACTAAATTTTCCCTAAAGTTTTTAGCTTGTCTTGGAGTTACACATAGAATGAATATATTATGAAGCCAGGTCATTATTATATGTACGTTTACTTTCTCACCGTTTGGGCAGATATAAGGGAAGTGGGTGGGGTCGTCATCGTTAACGTAGTCAAAACACTCTGGCCAGATGGGGGTGCAGACTGCCATCCCTCCCCCGGTTACACATGAGCACTGATTGCCGTTCGAGTACACCGTCTGGCCTTCTGGGATGAGGATAGGCAGGCCTTCAGGATTGCGGCAGTTTGGACCTAAGGAAAATTAGTGGATTTTTTTTTATATTTCACTCCATGGAGTGAAATACTGTCTTTCCTGATGTTTCTTCTTCTCCTCCTTCCTCTCGTTTTTTTTAATTTTAGTGATAGGAGTACATGCTTTTAGAATGGTTTTATTTGAGCTTTTTGGCTGTGTTATAGAAAATCTACTATAGCAGTGTGTTACTATATTTTCGAGTCATCAGAATGGTATGTAGAGCAAGCAACCAATAGGCATGCAGCATTCCTCTATTCCTCTTCCTAATTGGCTGTTGGATTTGATTCGATTAACTCAATTAACACCTGTTCAAAGCCATTCCATATTGATAGTATGAACTCAAGTGTTTGGTAGTTAGGCTACACCAAGTAAATTTTATGGATGACGTCCTTTGGAGACCCTAAATCTAATGCGAGAGGGCGAAAAAAAACAAGAAGGGCCCTAAAAAACAAGATGCCTAGATTGGAAATATACTAAGAGACGACGAATGTTAGGACATAAATTGAATGAGGTGACACAGTGTAACAAGCAAGAAGTCTTTTATTCATCATCAAAACAGCAATAAATCAGGTGGAACAGTGGACAGTGAAAAATTATCTGTTATTGACAGGATGGTCCTGTCAATAGTGCAAATTTTCTGTTATTGATATACACTTTCAATATATACCAATAGACACTTTCTTCGCGTTACGAGTTTCACATCAATCTGGTGATTTGCGGCACTGTCGTGACTCTTTGGTCATAGTTACAGGAAGCGGAATTTCTTGTTTTTTTTCTAGGAACAGGCCAAAATCAATGCGCGCGCGGACGTCATCCATAAAATTTACTTGGTGTGGCCTTACAGCACAGGTCACGAAATACGCATCAATTTTCGAGGGACGTTCTGCGGAAAGTGCAGGACGCTCTGCGGGAGAGTGCGGGACGTCCTACGGGAGAGTGCGGTACGTTCTGCGGGAGAGTGCGGTACGTTCTGCGGGAGAGTGCGGTACGTTCTGCGGGAGAGTGCGGTACGTTCTG